AGCATGAGAATTCGGGCGCGTACCGACACTTTCGTGGCAGCACGCGCAGCCGAAGCAACATAATTGCTTTTCGACACCTGAAGAACCAAGCCCACGCGAAACACTCTGTTACCAAACCGAGTCACGGCCCCGAGGAGCGGGCCAAAGTCCCGAGGACGACCTCCGATCCACTGGAAACTGGCGTCGCCCACACGAACGCGGGCCCGTGCGTCACTAAGAAACTTTCAGAACTTTTTGACTACAATACGGTGCAACAGCTTGTGCATTACCGCGTCGGCGTGGCTGCGTCTGGCCAAGATCCCTTGGAAGCTAATAACATCTCTAGAAAGCGACCAGAAAGCCTGGGCGGCCCGAGGACACCGATAGCGGGCCCAAAACATCCAAATCATTTTTAACGGGTACTTCAGAGCACGCGCTCCTCAAAAAACAAAGGTACAACTATGCGGTCGTAGCAGTTCTACATATCTACCATGACAGACGCAGCATGTTTTCCGACGGCGACCGCGGCCTCGGCATCGACGCTATTAGAAAATATGCGCCAGAAGATGATGCTGCAGGTCCGCGCCCCCAGGATGCGGGGTGTCTGTTGTCCTTTTCCCAAGCGACAGACACAGGCCGACGCAGCCGTCCCAGAATCCTGATGATGCTGTTCAGCAGGGCAATCAAACGGTGCCGTCCATATGGCTTCCGGAGCCGCACGAGACGGGTACGCACACGATCACCAGGCCACGACAACCACTTCTCGCAAGACTTGAAGAGCATGCCGAAGATCAACATGGCATCGCCAGACACCGCGTCAGGCCATCCTGGGCGCAGTCGTTGTTGACCCGAATTGCGTTGGCAGGGAAGCCGCGGCACACCTTCTTCAAGTCCGCAACGCTAAAATCTGGCAGTTCATCCCAACTCACAACGTCATCGGGCAGCGCCGGTGCCTTACAATTGTGCATAGACCATCTAAGATGCCACTCATCGATGCAATCGTCCGCCTGCTGATAAGGTTCGGCTCACTCAGTGTCCGCGTGGACCTCCTGCCTCTCGCGTAAACGACTGCACCTGTGAGCGCACGCAGGACCGCCAGCAAACGGTTCGTTATCCCACCTGGCCCACAACTGCGCATCCGCGCGGGAGGCCACCTTGCCATCCACAGCGCCCATGAGGGCTTGCACCTCATCACAAAAGACGGTATGCGAGAAACGCTCGACGATACTTGGCACGAAAGCCCGCGCCTCTGTAACATACATTCATCTACCCAAGATCCACGCCGAATGCGTCTGAAGAAACACCCTACGTCGAAAATGACCTTGTCGATCGTGTCAGCATCCGCTGTCTCAGACTTCGGCATGGTATCAAGATGGCATCGCACAGATCGTGAGTGCCTTCATCAACGGGCAAAGACACGCCACGCATCGACCTCATCGGGTGCATGGGGGGGCGTCGGGTCCAGGAGCTTCCAGGTACACTGCGTCACACCAGCACGGCCATGGTAAAGCCTCCTGGTCTCGGCGTCCATGATGTCGCACCTATCCAGCATCTCAGGCTCCAGCCCGATGATGAGATCGTCCCAGCATTCCTCCGAATCATCATCGCACGCAACATCACCCAACGCCTTACGTACCTGTTCCCACTCCGCAATCGGTGGATACCTGCTGCAATCTGGCTTGTAGATCACAGGGGAGCTCTTCGGCTCGACCGCCACGCGTTGGTACATGACCTTGGGCTTGGCTCGGAAGGGCAGCCACACTGGCAGACGGGGACAGGTATCCGCAGCCTCGTCCACGAAAGGCTGCCCCGTGAATAAAGACAACTACTCACACACGAATAAGAGATCCCTTGTCGCCCCAGGGCAAGCTTGACAACATGTGGCCTCAGGAGCCACGCAGAGAACACCACGGACCGTGTGGAACCAGCTCTCGACCACCTCTGGATCCATATTGAAATGACCACCCGGGACCCACGCCTGCTCCGAAATGAAAGGGGGACGGGAAGGAGGAGGGGGAGGAGGAGGAGGAGGAGGAGGAGGAGGGGGAGGAGGAGGAGGAGGAGGAGGAGGAGGAGGAGGAGGAGGAGGAGGAGGAGGAGGAGGAGGAGGAGGAGGAGGAGGAGGGGGAGGAGGGCGGAAGAAGGGAGGGGCACGCGCGCCGATGGCGGAGGAAAAGGCGCAGGAGGAAGAGGGGCATCGCCAGCAAAAGGCGGGAGAACGGGCCGGCGGCAGCCGCGGCGGAGCAGGGGGGGAGCTCGACCCGGGCCACGACAGCGGGCGAGGGCGGGCCGAGTGGACAGAAGGCCCAGAGCTAAGCAGCAGTCGGGGCGAAAGCCAAAGCAAATCGTCGTGCTGCCATGGGGGCGCCGAGTAAAGCTTCCGGCCACGGCCGTGAGCTCCCCGACCCGGGCCCCGGGGACGGCCCGAACGGCAGGGCCCCCTTCCACGATCTGGTGCACGCAAGGCTTTCCAGTGGCTGGCACAGGGGAAACGGATCCCGTGGGAAGCTGGTCCTGGACCCTGGGGCCTCCCCCCAGGACCAGCTCTTCATCCCGAGTCGTTCCCCGAAGGCCCTGGGGCCCGCGAAGGGCCATGGGAGCCACAAACGGCGAAAAACCTCAGGACCCGCTTCCACACGGCGAAGTGGGCCGAGTCTTGCCCCCGGTGCCGGCAGCGCAGCGCCGCTGGCAGCTCGAACGAAGAGCGCCGAGGACGCGCCCGCTCCCCGCCCCTCCGCGTGCTGTCTCGGCCGCGAGCTGCGCGGCTTGCGCCGCCAGGTCTCCTACGGTGACGGCATTGGATCACCCAGACATCCTGGCGTCTGGACAAATCGAAACCAACCTTTCTCACAACTTTTGGCCCCTTGGGGCCTTCACCGGCCTCGGGATTGTCAAAAAACGACTCAGGACGAGAAGCCGATCCCAGGGAGGTGGTCGAGAGGTCGGGGATCCGAGAAGGACATAAATGAAAATTTTCGCCTCGGTTGTTTCCAGACGCCAGGGTGTCTTGGTCATCCATTTCTTCGAGACACGGGCCCCCGACCTCTCAGGAGGAGGAGGAGGAGGAGGAGGAGGAGGAGGAGGAGGCGGAGGAGGAGGAGGAGGAGGAGGAGGAGGAGGAAGAGGAGGAGGACGAGGAGGAGGAGGAGGAGGAGGAGGTGGAAGGGGGAGGGGGAGGTGGAGGGGGAGGGGGAGGGGGAGGGACCACCTCCCCGGGACCCGTTTCTCGTCCTGAGTCCTTTTCTGACGGTGCCGAGGCCTGGCAAGGGCCCACCTGCCGGTGTGGCTGCCCTTCCGAAGTCGGTTTTCCACACACAAAGCTCACTCGGCGCACCGCGAGGCGCGACTCCGCTGCGCACCGCGTGCAGGCTGCAGGCGGATCCTCGGGCTGGCGAGCCTCCTGCCGGGGCCGAAGGGGCCGAATGGGGCCGGCGCTCGGCTGCTCGGGAGTGGCCGCGAGCGCAGGGCCCGTTGGCGGCTCTGGCTTTTGTTCCCGATCTGGGCACCGAGCAGCAGGAGGAGGAGGAGGAGGAGGAGGAGGAGGAGGAGGAGGAGGAGCAGCTGCAGCAGCATCAGCAGAATGCGGAATATCAGGATGGAGGGGACGACGACGACGACGACGACGACGACGACGACGACGACGACGACGACGACGACGACGACGACGACGACGACGACGACGACGACGGAACCAGGTGGGATATGTTTCTCTGTCGCTCGACACCCCTCGATGTGCTCACCGAGCAAGCCAGTCTTTGCGTCTTTGCGGCACTGGTCCGCTGACAGATAACGACACCAAGCTTCCATAAATTGCTACTCCGAAGCAGAGACAACATCCCTATGAGCACCGCCGCCCCGACGACGACGCGGTCGGCGCGCTCGGAGCCGGGGGAGGCCCCCAACAAAAACAGGTGCCCTGCGCGAAAAAAAAACGATCGACACGGCCTCGCCTCGCGGGAGCGCCGAGTGGAGCCAAAGGCGACAGGCCAGCGCCGCGCAGGAGGCTGGTGGCCCGCCCGCGCGCGCAGGAGAAAGGGCTGCCGCGGCCAGCGGAGAGGCAGGCAAACCTCGCCCGCATGAGCCAAGTTTCTTATTACGCGCGATCTCGCCCGTGGCCGGCCCCGCCCCCCCGCCCCTCCCCCTGCGCCGGCGCCGTCTGGGAATTAGCCATCCTCAAGAATTCCACACGGCGCGACACATGACGTGACCAGCCTGCTCGCTCCCCCCCCCTTCCCCGTGTCACGTCCGTTATTGCCAGTGCTCGAAGCCCATAACCTCCAACGTCTTGTTGAGCAGAATCAGGGCGGCGAGTTCTCGCCGTGTCCGGCCTCTGGGGGCTGCCCTTTCTGGGCTCGGGAGGCGTCTGGAAACGATCCAGGACGGGAAGCCGACCCCAGAGAGGGGGTCGAAAGCCCCCGGGAAGCCTGTTGAAAGGATCAAGGTGTCGGAGGCCGCGGTTAAAGATAGGTTCGACAAGATGGTGCCGACCCAGGGCACAAGATGCCGATGTCCAGAGCAGGATACCTGCTCTGGGGCGGACATGGACTCTGGGGGGATGGGTCGTATGACGCACGAGGGGGCTCCTTGGCCGAGTCGACCGAATCCAGAGTGCTAAATGCCAGACTGCCGCTCCTCTCAAGCCCCTTCGGTCTTGGACTCAAGGGGGCCCCCTGATCGAGGCATATCTGATCTAGAAAGGGGGGCGAGAGGGGGGATATTGGCCCAGGGAGGGGTGGCATCGGCCTGGAATCGGCGATACATCGCTGATAGATCGGCGATGGCCCCCCGATGACGCAACAGCATGATCTTGGGCACGGTGCCGCACCCACGCCCCGATCGACGATGATCGAATGATCGAATGATCGGGGGCCGATGGTGCCCCTCCTGATCCAATCCCCCTCTTTGGTCCCCATCCCCCGACTGAGATCTTCCTCACAAGCGGGAACGGGTCCCCCGTCTCGCTGACCAACAGAAGCGATTCGACAACACGCACCGCTCCGCGTGTCAAGAATACCCACCGGCTACGCTCGGCCTCTTGGCTTCTCGCTCGCGCTCCGCCTCTGAGCCGGCGCCCCTCTTGGTTCCGTGCGATTCCACTCGCAACCTCGCCTCGACGACCTCAAGCGAACACTGGGAGTAACCCAGTTGGATCGGTTCTCTTTCCACCCTCTCGACGTGCATTCTTTCCTCGAGCGCTGCCAAGAAAGCGTCGGTGCCGTCGTCGGAATCCGCCACCGTGCCTTGTGCACGTTGAAGCGTGGAATAATGCCACGGACTGTCTGATCGGGAGTCTGCTATTCTCTCAAGGCTGCATGCATCGCCACCTCTTCCCGAGGCCATGATCCCTAGCAACATTTGACAGATACGCGCTGGCGAGGGCCAGATGCCTCGAAGACGGCCCAGTATCGCTCCAAGACGGGCTACGTTGGCCTCAAGACGGCCCACGAAGCCGTCGAGGCGTCCCAAGAGAGCCCCACGACCCTTTCCGAGAGAGCCTCGAGAGGCAAACACCATAGATGTCCATAGGTTTTCATACGTTTTGTTTTTGTTTCGCCTTTTCGAGCTTCAGACGTCCCAAGACGAAGCCACCAAGACTGCCGCAAGACGGCCCGAGAGGCCCCTAAGAGGGCCCCAAGACGGCCCAAGAGGGCTCCAAGAGGCGCCCACGACTGGCCAAGAGGGCCCCAAGACTGCCTCAAGAAGGGCCCAAGAGTGGAACACGCACCCAGAATTCGAGTCATCTGCCCCAAGAGGCTCCCAGCAGGCCCCCTTGCGTCTCGAGTAGTTGCCACCCAGAACGACTGCTGCGCTGGCACGGTGGCGGAATTGCCAGAGGCAGCTGGATATGGGTCCTCGCTGTGCTGCGGCGGTCGGCGGCAGAACGAGATCACGGCGATGGTGGACGGCCCGCACAGGTGGTGCACCACCTCTGCAAGGCCGGTGCAGGAGCTGTGACCGTACATCGAGGAGCACAAAGTTGCACAAACATCAACTTTCGGAGGTCCTCACTGGTGTCTTAGGTCGGCACTGGATACCCCTCCCTGGCGCGCGGAGCCCGCCAGGGGTGGCGCCGGAGGCGCCACCAGAGGGGCCCCCAGGGCCGAAAGGAGAAACCTGGTCGGGCATCCGAAAGCTTATGCGGATGCCATCTTTCTTGTTCCTCGGGTACAGCGGAGCGTAGACGCCGTCGCTGCAGATGACGAGGTCGAAGCCGCCCTCCTGCCTCAGCAGGCGGCGGGCCGACTCGAGGTCCCACGTGAGGGCCGCCACCCGCGCGGAGCCCGCGGCGGCCTCCTGCACTCCTCCGCCCGGGAAGTTGTCCGCCACGCGCTGCTCCACGTACGGCACGACGTCCGGCTTGTCGGTCAGCAGCACGTCGGCACCAAGGGCGGCGCAGACCATGCCGGGCATCGCCAGGCCACAGCCGAGCTCGACCACACGCGCGCCCTTCTGCGCAGGGGGCCAGAAAGGGCGGCACACGAGCCACGGGCTCTCGGCGGCCACCCGCGCGGATCTCGTGCGCCGGCGCTGGACCACACTCCCCGCGGCCCCTTGCCGAGCGCGCGCGGGACCGGGGAGCCCACATCAGACGCACGCGCTCAGACGCAGGCGCCAGGCCGAGCACACAGAAGCACATGAAAGCGGCCCCCCAGTCCGCGAGGCCAGCCTCGTGCTACGGACGCTCGCGCCAGGCATAGCCCTTCGAACCCACCGACATTCATGTGAATGCATGTCTTGGCTTTCGCTCCTGAGGGAGAGGAGCCCGGAAACTCCGCGCGGACCGTCCGAAAGCCTACAGCCATCGACCCCGCGCAGGCCTAAAGCCATCGTGCCACCACGGGGCGCGCCAAGGAGAGAACGACGGGGGCCCCTCTGGACGCGGTGGGCCTCGGCTGGCCACGACGAGGCCCCCCGACCCAGATCTCTGGAAGGGCCCGCAAACCAGAGCCACTCTTGAGCCCGACGTGGTCCTTCCTCCTGCGAGGACAGCAAAACACCGAGGATGCGACTCCCCAGATCTCTCCACGGGCGCAGCCTGGTCAGAACTCCGAGGAGAATCCGGCCGTGGCCACGAGCGCTCCCCAGAACGAGCAGCGGCATCATCGGTGTACTTCCTCCTGTCGAGGCTCTGTGCTCGCGCCGCCCTTCTGCCTCCCGTCTCAAGCAGGGCCCGGTGCGCCTCCAGCAGGCGGTCGGTCAGCCTCAGGGCCGCTGGCCAGATCATCGCCTGCCCGGCCACGGCCTGCGGGCGGCCCATGTGCGAAGAGGACAGCCGAGGAACACAAACCGGCATGAACAGGACCTTTCGGAGGCCCGCCCGGACTTCTTGGCCTGGCGCTGGACCCCCCCCCCTGCCGCGCGCCAGGGGGCCCCGGCGCCCATCCCAGAAATCCGCACGGACCTCCGAAAGGTAATGCTTACCCGTCGGTCGGAAAAGGGTGTAGAAGCATGAAGTAATCAGGCGTTGGAAACAGATTGGGCTCCCGCCCGCCCCCTGAAGAAGACGGAAGGGAAGAAACTGCTCGACTCTTGAAGTAGGAGGGCACTTGAAGTATATTAGAATCAGAGGACCAAAAAATACCTACTTCCAACGGCTGGCGCGCATGCTTATGGCAGTTGTTGGGACGCACAGAGACATACTAGTAGTACATGTCCTCTGTGGAGGCGCGCGTCCGATCCGAAAATATAGTATACCCATCTAGTAGTATATCGTTTCCCGAGCGGGGTGACTGGAAAGCGCACGCCACGACGCATATACTATAAGATTTCTCGGTGCGCGCGTCGCCCCTAGGGGAGGCGACGCACACATGGTTTTGGCATGTTGGGGTGCCGCCGAGTTGATGATCCTCGAGACAGCTGCCGCAGCACCAGCCTCTGGGCGCCTGGCACGGCCACCACGGCCGAAGCGGCGCCGCCCGGGCCGGCTGCCTCGGAGGAGACCTCCGCCTGGCGGCTCGTCACCTGCGCGTAGCCCGTCGGCGGCGGCGCCGCCGCCCGCCGAGCCCGCGGCAGCACCACCGCCATCCGCCAAAGGCCCGCGGGCGGGCGGGCTTGACAACCTCATGAAGCAATCGAGAACGCCCCCCTGAGGTATCCTTGGCACTGGAACGAAGATTGGATAATCCGCGGGGGCGGATTCAGCGGAGCGACATCCGAGCGGGACCTCGCCATCCCAGGGGGGCTGCGAACTGCGAAACTGTCGCCACTTTCGATGGTTGCTCGGGGCTCCAGGGGGAGTCCTAAACAACGGCCAAGTGCCAAGGAGCCAGGCTAACGCTCCCAGGTGCTCGATGCGTTATCGTTTCACTGGAAAAGGGGGGGATCTTAATTGATTCATGAGGTTACAGCCAACCCGTATAATAGCGAGGCACGATAAGGATGCAAGGGCACTGGAAGGTCATGCCGACACTTTGCAAGCGGGGCGCGGCCAGCGAAAGCGACCAAGGAAGGGGTGAAGGGGAAGGATGCAAGAGTAACCTTGGAATGCAACTCATCCTTACTATGCGGGTTGAATGCAGGAGAGGCCGCGGGCAGAGGTGGCCCGAGCCAAAATGACTGGGGCACGAGGAAGGGGAGAACTGAAATCCTGGCCGCGCGACTTTGTGACAACGGGCGATATTGATCTGCTTCGGGCCCCGGCGCCCTCACGGATCGATCCGGCTCGAAAAATGGCGCAGAAAGATGGGCGATGTTCCACGATGTCGTATTTTTGTTCGCTACGTCGGATCGCACGGAGTGTGTGGCCACCGAAGCCAAGCCAGCGCCGCGGCAGAGCGAACAGGCGAGGCGCACGCTGACACGGCCAACGAGACAGGCGAGGCGTTCGCAGCCAGCTTCGAATTCTGCCCATCGTGGATCCAGAAGGCGAGCGCACTGCGTCGCACAGCATGCATCAGCGAGGGGTCGCTGGAAGGTTGGGCGCTGCTGACCAGGGGAGGATAAACGAGGGGCGAAGAAACGTGCACCGTTCGTTTCGTGCTCCAGTGGGCCCCTTTCAGGGCCCCTTCAGGGCACAAAAGGTGCACCTGTCTTCCCCCTATTACGCAACGCCCGAGAAGGGTCACGCAGGTAGGCGCCGACAGGATTAACGAGCAGGAGAAGGTACAAGAGGGAGGCGGAGCCATGAATCTGTCGCGACCACAACCAGGGTGTTTCTTCCTAGCCGCACGCAGTAGGCACTGTCGCAGTGTTCTGCTAGTAACGCATAACACAAACGTCGCAGTACAGCTTTATCGTAGCATCGCTTCCGCGTGGCATGTCATGGCATGGCCTACCCTGTGGTTGCACAGATGGTATAGCGTAACAGCAAGACAGTGCACAACACAACACAACATAACATGGCATACCAGTATTGTGGCATTACGTCGCAATGCAATACCACCAGCAAACAATTCGGTCAATCCAAGCCGCTCCATAGTCATAGCGCAGCATAGCACTAGCATTGTATACCATCACATAGCAGCGCATCATCATAACCATACATGATATGTTGTGTCGTTATGGTGGCAACAGCGTTCGCATCAACATTAACATTCGCATCGGCATACGGCTGTATTGCCCGCTTCTCAGAATCTGGATCCACAAAAATCGACATCTCACTCTTGCTTCCGCCACCTACCGCCAGCCTCACGATGTTCAAAACATAATGGCTTTGAAAACGGGCAACGAAACGAAACCCAACATTTAAAACGAACGTCAACAACGAAACCGGTGAACCGATGCCAAACGCAACGAACAGCGAGGCGAGGCGTCGAAAACAACAACGAAAAACCAAGCGAAACAGAAATGAACAAAAACGAAACGACAAACAACACCACACAATGCGCAGGCCCAAGCCAAGCTGCGTGAACAGCGCTGTGGTCCGTCCTTGCCTTACTTTGCGCCGCCTCCCTCCGACCTTCTGCCGGGGCTTCCGCCGAGGGCGAGGGTGCGCCAGATGGGAGGCCCCGTCCTCCCCATCGCTCGGACGTCCATTGCTGGTGGATGTTTCGGCTTCGTGCGCTTATTTTTTCGCAGGATGGTCAAAGATGCTCCTCGATGGTCCTCGTCGAACAATGCACACGTCCGAGCGATGCCAAGTGTCTGGGGGCAAGCCGATCTGGCGCACTGGAGCCTTGCCCAACACTGATTGGGCAAGGACCGACCGTCCCGGCATTCCTATAGGCCTACCACAATATGTTACTTGAGCCCAAAGACGTGATGAGAACAAAACGTGTCCTTAAAATGAAGCCCGATGTGTGAAGACAAACAGTCTCAGCCAGAAAGGGTCGAGTTGCACTTCGTGCAAGCCACAGAAGGCTCGAGAGAACGCGCCCGTGGTACACTCCCAGGGGGGGGGGCCCTTAGCTACCCACCCCCTTGGACCTCCCCTGCTGGAAGCCCCCCCCTTTTTCCGCCTCTCGGAAGCTACCTCCCCCAATTCCTTTCGCGCTCTGGAAGCTCCCCCGCCCCCCCCTCCCTGTCCAAAGGGGTGGGGGCTTAGCTACCCCCCCCCCCCCAGCACCTCCCCTGCCAGAAGCCCCCCTCCCCCCCCCTCCTTTTTCCGCCCCCCCCCCCCCCCTCCCCCCCCCCCCCTTCCTTTCCAAAAGGGAAGGGGGGGGGCTCAGCTACCCCCACCCCCCTTTGAACCTCCCCATCCGGAAGCCCCCCCCCCTCCCCCCCTTTTGGGCTAAAGGGGGGTGGGGCTTGAAAGCCCTCCCCCCTTTGACTCAAGGAAGAAGCGCCGAAGACCGAAAGGGCGCCGAAAACCAAAAAGCCACTGAAAACCCAAAGGGTGCGACAATCAGAGACGCTCCGAAAACCAACAGAGCGCCGAAAACCAAAGAGCCACCGAAAACCGAAAAGGTGCGAAAACCAAAGGCGCGCCGAAAACCGAAAGAACGCCGAAAACCGCAAGGGGCCGAAAACCGAAGGTGCGCCGAAAACCAAAAGGGCGCCGAAAATCAAAGGAGCGCCCAAAACCAACGGGGCGCCAAAAACACAAAGGGCGCCGACAACCAATAGAGAGCCGAAAACCAAAAGAGCGCCGACAGGCAAAAGAGCGCCGGAAACCAAAATGCGCCGAAAGCCTAACGAAAGCCGAAAACCAAAGAGGCGCCGAAAACGCCCCAAAGCTCCGAAAGCCAGCGGGGCGCCGAAAACCAAAGAGGTGCCGAAAACCAACAGAGCGCCGAAAACCAGAGGCGCGCCGAGAACCGCAAGAACGCCGAAAACCGAAGAGCACCGAAACCCAAAGAGGTACCAAAAAAACAACATGTCGCTGAACTTGAAAAGGACGCCGGAAACCAAAGGGGCGCCGAAAACCAACAGGGCGCCGACAACCGACAACCAAACGGTCACCAAACACAAAAAGGAAACCGAAAACCAAAACGGTGCCGAAAACCAGAGAGGCGCCGAAAACCAAAAGGGCACCGATAACCAAACTGGCGTCGAAAACTAAAGGAGCGCCGAAAACCAAAGGGGCGCCGAATACCACGAGGGCGCCGAGAACCGAAGGAGCGCCGAAACCCAATGGGGCGCAGAAAACCAAGAGGAGGACATAAACCAGAGCAACGCCGAACACAAAAAAGGGCGCCGAAAGATGCGCCAGAAACCAATATGCCGATGAACGTGATGGCAAGGAAGTTTGCGCGCGTGGAAATGCAAGAAACCTGGCAACCGGCTTGTTCAAAATCAGATAGTGGTCCACATGTTTTGGACTATCTTGAAACGCGTCGAGAACCAGTTTTTTGGGACGGATTTCGACACGCGCGCGTGGCGCGCGGCGGCGTGCGCGCATGGCTCGCACGGCTTTATGTGATACGGATTCGTGCACTAGGGGCATGCCAAGTGAACGCGGACGCAACGCGTGGTGACATGAGCATGCGGGTTCCGCACGAGATTGCTCCAATCACATTTTTGCCCTATAGTTTCAGCAAGTGCGCGCGGGCAGGAAATCTGCCAGGTTTCCAATGCCAGACCTACGGTTGATTTGTTGTTTCTATGTTGACTTGCGTGTAAGACTTCTGTTTGGTGTGATTTCGACAATTGCGCGTGTGTGTGTGGACGTCGGGTAGCTTGTTGGCAAAGGACTACCGAAACCTTGATCACTCGCGCTAAATAAGTGCGCGCATAATAATAATTGACAGAGGCCAGTCGGCCTGGGATGGTATGAATTCAGAAGAGCTCAAGGGATGAGGAAGAGAGGGGAAGGGAGAGAAGGGTTAAGATGCCCAAACACATGCACATCACATGTCTCCTTATCCTCCTCCTCCCACTCCTCCTCCTCCTCCTCCTCATCCTCCTCCTCCTCCTGTTAGTCCTCCTCGTCCTCGTCCTCGTCCTAGCCCACGTGCGGCGAAGCGGCCTGTGCGCCGCACGCACTCCCCCTGAGCTTCTCATCGTCCTCGTCCTCCTCTACCTCCTCCTTCGCCCCTTCCCCCATCTACTCCTCTTTCTCCTGCACCCCATTCTCGTCGTCCTCTTCCTCCGCAACTTCGTCCGTGTCCTCCTCGTCATCATCTCCCTAGTCCGCATCGTCCTTCTCGTGTTGGTTTGGTGTTGTTACTCTCTATCTCCCTCTCTCTATCGCTGTCTCTCTCTCTCTCTCTCGCTCTCTCTCTCTCTATCTCTCTCGATATATATATATATATATATGTATCGCTATATCGCGTTCGTTATCTTTCTCTCTGTCTCTCGCTCTCTTTCTTTCTCTCTCTATGTATATATATATATATCTCTTTCTCTGCCTCCCTCCCTCCTTCCCTCCCTCCATCATCATCCTGCTCCCTCCTGCCATCATCACAATCACCACCATCATCATCACCATCATCATCAGCATCATCATCACCATCACCATCATCATCATTATCAGCATCAACATCATTTTCACCATCATCTTCATCACCATCATCTTCATCATCATCTTCATCATCTTCATCACCATCATCTTGATCACCTCCATCATCACAATCTTCATCATCAGCATCATCCTCATCGTCATCATCATCGTCATCCGACGCGGCTGGGGGGCAACAAAGTCCGCCCCCGGCGGGGCCTGCCGGGCCACAAGCTCCAACAGCATCGCCTGCCTGTCGAAGGCCTCCTGGGGGAGGAGGTCGTCGTCGTCGTCGTCGTTGCCGGGGGGGGCGAAGATGATGATGGGGAGGAAGACGGAGAAGGAGACTGATGTTTGCTTATTCTCGGCAAGGTGATGCGACTTGAAGCGACTGCGACTGTAGGGTTCCAGTGGCTCCATTGGGTGCGTGGCAGACAGAGAGTGGGAGAGAGATGGAAAACATACATATAAGTACACGTGCGTATAGATGTGCGTAAGTATGTATGCATGCACGCATGTATGTGTGCATGTTTCTACGCATGTACTCGTATATAAATATACACACATATTCCCTTTTCTATATTTTTACAATCCGGGGGGGTGGGAACCCCCCCCCCCCCGAAAATCGGACCCCCGGGATCTGGCGCTTTTCGGGCCCCCTGGACGCCTTGCAAGGGGTCCCCCAGGCCTTCCGGGCCTCCTGGACGCCCCTGCGGGGCCTTGCCAGCGGGCCCAAAGCGGTCAGGAGGGCGGCCAAACGGCCCCGCGAGAGCCCCACGCGGCCCCAGACAGCCCCAAGACGCCCGAAGACGACCCAAAGAAAACCCCCAAGAGGTCCTCCAAGTGTAAAAAAACAACACTTTCCTTTCCTTTCCTTTTTTTTTGCCTTAAAAAAAGAATGAATTTTTGGACATTCGGTTCTTCGGTATTCCGTGCGTCCGAGTCCGCCGAAGAGGCCCCAAAAATCCTCCCACAACGGTGTCAAAGGGCTTCCAGACAGTCCAAAAGAGCCCCAATATGGTCCAACAGGGCCGCAAGATGGCCCCAAGAGAGCCCCGCTGACAGCCCCACATGGCCCCAAGACGCCTCCCGAAGCACTCCAAATCGTGACCCGGTCGTTCAGGGAGACCGTGGTTGGTAGCAAGGTGGCCGCAAGAAGCCCCCAGAGGCCCCCAAAAGGCGCCCAGGAGGCCCCCAGAGGTCCCCAAAAAGCTTTTGAGAGGGGCCCAGGAACACCTCCAAAGAGGAGCCACTGCAATAAAAACTGGGGATGGGGACAAGGAGTGGCTCGCAGACAAGGAAGATTACGAGTAAGAGGAGAGGAAGTATAAGGATAGTACATAACATTACTATAACGACGATGGCGCAAACGGCAACAATGAATCATCGCTATATTTGGCTCTCCTGCATGCCGAGCTTCAAGAACCAAGGTGCATGGCGCGAAGCGCCAATGCAGTCTTGTATACATGTATATATATATATATATATATGTATACTGGGAGCCGGCGGTAAACCGTCAACCTTGGTTACCGCCGGGAACTCGTAGAGCTTCCTCGATATACATGAATGGAATGCGGGCGCGGCAATCTCGCATTCCGCGCGCGCGAGGGTGCGGTTTCATGGAGGAGGACGTGGAGGAGAAGAAGGAGTGAGGAGGAGAAGGAGATGGAGGCTGAGGAGAAGGAGCAGGCGGAGGAGAAGGAGGGGGATGAGGAAGAGCAGGATGACGAGCAGGAGGAGGAAGGGTGGAGGGAGAGAAGAGGGACGATGATGATGATGAAGAGGAAGATGAGGAGAAGGAGGAAGAAAAGGAGCAGAAGGAGAAAAAGGAGAAGGAGCTGATGGAGGAGGAGAGGAGGAGGGAAGGAGGAGAAGGAAGAGGACGAGGAACAGAATTACGAATATATTTTTGGTTGCAGCTCCGGTAGCAGACCGATATCAAACATGTAGGTACTTGCAACGAGCGCTCCTGATGATCTTCGTCGAATTGCTGTGCCAAACAGCTTTAATCTCATCTGCAGCTCGAGCTACATCAAGAAAAGCATTGTCATCTCTCAAAAAATTGGTAAAGCACAAATAATTTTAGAAGCAGACCGAATTCGGGCATCTAGATACTTGAGACTAGCGCTTCTGATTATTTCCGTTCGATCGCTGTGCCAAACAGGTCTGTAGCTCATCTGCAGCTCGAGCTATCTCAAGAAAATCGTCATCATCTCTTTTTTATAAAATTAACACAATACGAGTAGTTTTTCGGACCCAGCTCTGGTAGCAGACCGAGTTCGGGCATCTAGATACTCGAGACAAGCGCTTTTAAGGATTTCCTTCCGATTGCTGTGCCAAACACCTTTCGCTCATCTCCAGCTCGAGTTATCTCATGAAAGTCATTATCATCTCTGAAAAATAAGCAGAGTACGAGTAGTGTTTCGGACCCAGCTCTGGTAGCAGATCAAGTTCGGGCATCTAGATACTCGAGACTAGCGTTTCTGATGAGTTCCTTCCGATTGCTGCGCCAAACAGATCTGTAGCTCATATGCAGCTCGAGTTACGTCAAGAAACTCCGCGACATCTCTAGAAAAAAATCTGCAGAGTACGGATAGTTGTGAAGCCCAGCTTTGGTAGCAAACCGAGTTCGGACATCTAGATACTTGAGACTAGCGCGTCTGATGATTTCTTTCCGATTCCTGTGCCGAACAGCTCTGTAGCTTATCTGCAGCTGGAGTTACATCAAGAAACTCATCATCATCTCTAAAAAAAAGCAGAGTACGGATAGTTGTTCGGACCGAGCTCTGGTAGCAGACCGAGTTCAAGCATCTAGATACTTGAGACCAGCGCTTTTGATGATTTCCTTCCGATTGTTGTGCCGAACAGCTCTGTAGCTCTTCTACAGCTCGAGTTAAGTTAAGAAAACCGATAGCACCTGCCAAGATGAAACTAAACAGCCGATCCCACCAGAGTGTTGTTTGACAGTAGTACGTACCGGATCGACCTGAGATTGAGATGGCGAATGGGAATAAGATCGAAGATGGGGGGAAAAATATTAGAGCTCTAACGAATGTTTAGATTTCGAGAAATCGATTTTTAACCGACCAAAATTATGCAACATGTCCGTCGATATTTGTTTGCCAACTAGCCCCCCAGCGCGCCGGAATTACTCTCTAGCTTCGCCGCTTCGCTCTTAGGGAAGCTCTACGCGTCATGCATGAATGTATGCTTGTGCATATACAGAATACATGTATGCGTATATGTGTGTATGGCTGTCTGTCTGTCTGCTGGTCTATCAGTATGTATGTATGCAGGTCTGTCTGTATGTCTGGCTGTCTGCCTGTCTGCACACATATATATATACACACACTTGAAACATTCGCGCGCTCTCCGCGCGCGCTCTGTTTCTAGGTAGCTCCGAGCGCTGGGAAGTTCAAGCTTGCTCAAGTATATGATTCCTCACGTTCCTACTGGTCGGCTTAATTCACTCAACATGTTGTGGCTATCATCTCCCAGCTTGCTTATCGTTGCCTTCTCCTGCGTTATGTTGTTTTCTGAGCCTTCGTCCATATCATGGTCTCCTGGTCCCTCATTTGTCCCTCTCCCTCGTGTTCCGTTGTCCCTGCCTCACCCCTGCCTTTGCTCTCTCCGCCTCCCTCTCATGTTCGTCCTTATGTGGGCGTGGGCAGACACAGTACGTGGCCGCTCTCTTTCGATCACGTTTCAATCTCCTTCTTTCCACCACCACCTCCTCCTGGTGACGGTTGGGGGCCCGAAAGTTTTTCGCCAAGGCTGGATGAAGGCCTTGGGACGCCGTTTTGAAGCCCTTCTGAGGCGTTGTGGGGGCCTGTTGTGGCCCCCTGGGGGCCTCTTGGGGCTTCCTGGGGGCCTCTTGGGGCGGAAAGCTCGAATTGTCGATTCGCGTGCCCCCTCTTGAACCTCTCTTCGGGCCATCTTGGGGCTCTCTTGGGCTATCTTGAGGTTCTCTTGGGCCGTCTTGGGGCCCTTTTTGGGCCGTCTTGGGGCTCTCTTGGGGACCTCTTGGGCCGTCTTGGGGGGGCCTTAGGGACCCCTTGGTCCGTTTTAGTTCGTCGGAAACCCGAAAACGCGAGAAGTAAAAAACATAGACAAACAACACTAGAAAACAATGATGTTGGCATGTCGGGCCGCTCTCTGGAGGGCCTTTGGAGGCGTCTTGGGCGGTCTCTTGGCACGCCTTTTTTTTCCTCTCCTCATCTGCCTCTTCCTCCCCCGCGTGTTCTCCGAAGGACTTCCACAACGGCTGGGGGAACGTATAGTCTAACAACGTGGCCAACTTTTGCCCCAACGTTTGGCCACATAGGCGTATTCTAGAAGGCAGGGGCGGCGGTGATTCGCCGCAGGCGTCCTCGATACATACATTCGTAGGGATGTAAAGAGAGAGAAAGAGATAGAGAGAGAGAGAGCGAGAGAGAGAGAGAGAGCAAACCAAGAGAGGGAACACCAGAGAGATGGGCGGAGGGAGAGAGAAAGGGGGAGAAAGATCGGGTGTCTCCTTCGTCCTCTCGACATCGTGCTTCGCCATCAGTTCGACGTCCTTTGCCTCCAGTTCGACGTCCCGATTGGCCTGTGGCTCGTCCTGCTTCGTCCTCGTCCTTGTCCTGCCTGCTTAGCCCCTTCCTCTTCCATCCCTCTGCCGGCACAACCTGCGTCTCTCGCCCGGATACCAGCCGCACGGCTGCCTCAGAGTGGTGCTCTCGCCGCTGCGTCGGCGACATCCCTGCCCCCGAAGTAGTGGAAGGAGCGGTTAGCAGCAGCACAAGAAGCACAGGCAGCAGAAACAGCAACGACAACAATACCATCGACAGTTGCACAAGCAGTGGCAACAGTAGCAGCCCAAGCATCGCCAGTAGCAACTGCAACAACAGTAGCGGTGCCATCAGAAATAGCAGTTGCAGCAGTGCCAGAGGAAGGCAGCATCAGCAACACCAGCAGCAGGAACACCACCAGCGGTAGCAGCATACTTTAATAGCAGCAGTACTAAACAGCACTTCCAGCATCCATAGCAAAATCAGTAGCAGAAGTACCAGCTGCATGACAAGCAGCATGAGGATAAGTCCTGTGATCACCCTGCAGGGCGTGGAGCGAGATACTACAAGAACTGGACACACTGGAGGCTGTCCTGTGAGCGCGGGCGAAATTAATTCTGGGCATGGCTGCAGCAGAGGGCCCATGAAGAGGAGGCTGTTCAGAAGGCCGGAGCAGTCTTGGACGCTCGAAGCCCAAACAGCATCGATGACAGCAGAAACTCGTTGTAATGCGATATAACGCATGTCCCCCGGGCAGAGCTCGACCTTCAAGCAACCTGAGTCGGCAAGTCTCCGGACAGCCGTGCCGACAGCAACAATCCATGGCATGACTTCGTCCAACAGGCAACGTCACATACGCACCTCACATGATGTACTCGCAACGTGCCTGTCTGCGGATGCAAACTGGACGACGTCCTTGGCAATGACGTTCGGCACCTGAAGACAATCAAATGGCAACGCCATAGGATTGAGATTCCACGTGCGGCTTGGCTTGCAAGATGGCTTCTTGTCTTCAGACGACGCCATAACCTTCGAGATCAACTTTTCCCATGTACTTTCGAGCTGTATGGCGCAGACTGGAGGGGGCGCCTCAAATCCATTGGAGGGGCTAACCTATTCTCTTGTGAGGCGAAAATCACTTCGGCTTCGCACAGCAGTCAGGAGTGACGGAAGTCATTGCCCTCATCCTGTCCGCCGTCCCTTTCCTCTAGCATCACATTTCGGAAGAACTTGCGCTTTTCTTGAACGGAGCCTTCTCCAGACACCCCTGCACCACTGGTCATATGAGCAGTGAACTCATCACCTGTCATTGCGTCCACCCTGGCGACTTATTCTTAGTAATTGTGCTTTACATGCCCAATGCTGATTCCAAGACCTCCGACTGCTTGGCATCATGACTAACGGAGTCTGGACAAGAGACGAAGGCGTCCATGAAGCTTCCATAACAAGTGTCTTTCACCCAAAACTTGAGCACATTCTCAATCTCGCCCCACTGGTCTCGGCTTTGATTGGGTGATATCCAGGGACGATGTGGAACCTCGCAGTCTGTCCTGACCAAGTCCTTCATGCTCTGCATGAGTCGCGCGTGATAGTGTGTTAACACAAATGGGCTCATGTAAACGTGATATGCTGCTGTTGCATCCTTTCAAGCGCTTGCGCACACCTCGTCACGTTCTACCCTCTCCTGACAAACCACGACTGCATCAAGCATGCTACCAACATCGAGATCTGGGATCCGCATTTTGGCACCATTGAACATGATAGGGTCAGATCCCCCAATCTCGTAAAACAGTGAGAGCACGACTACAACGCGGGCCAAGTGCTCAGACTTGCTACCAAATACCTTTAAGTACGATCGTGATTTCCGGGACAACGAGATCGCAGAAAACACCCTCGGGGTATGAACCAGAAGACGTACTCGCGAACCCACGCAAAGTCTCAAACATGTGACTGGCACCTCCGCACCCTCCGAAGTAGAGTCGTACTGGCACTCTCCACACCGTGCGGGCCGAAATGTCAATACGCCTCTGGAATGGTATCACCCCTGCATCCGCGTGCCCCCCCGCATTCAAGAAGTCCTGGGTTATCTCATCCTGAAGGCCAGCAAGGCCAGGATCTGCCAGGAAGGACCGACTTTGGATCGTCGTGGCCCAAGACAAAGCGCTGACGTGGGCCGCGGGCCTCGCGATCGCCCTCAGCAGCTCCCTCCGCCTGGCGACGCTGCGAGCAGTGCGCAAAGGGTCACTCTTACTGGTGGCCGAGAGGCTGACGAGGCCGCGACCTCGGGCAAGGCCAGGCCCGGCGGCCTGGCCATGGCGGCATGCTCTTGGGCGACCTCCCAGCGCATCAGCACCGCTCACCGCGGCCGCCCTCGCGGCGCGCAGGCGCAGCCGCTCCGCGTGGGACCCCGAGGTCGGCAGCCTCCGCGGAGGATCCGGCCGAGACCACGAGCTGGGCCTTATCCTCTGACGCTCTCGCCGCCGCTGCGGCGACCTCCCTGGCGTCGCCGTACCGCCCCAGCTCGAAGAGCGCCGCTGCGCCGCGGCGCGGATGGTCGCTGGACTGGGCGGCCGACTCGTATAGGGTCAGCGCGGATGCGTGAACCAAGGCGCAGTGTTTAGACGAAGAAGGCAAGAGCTACATGCATGCTGTCTCGGAGGGTAATCATAAAAAGTATGGCAGCTTGATTACTAATTGCCCGAGCAAGCCGGCGAATGCAAGATCTTTTCGCATTACAGCCCAGGCGAGCGTCTTGCCAACTACTTGGGCTCATGAGGCGAGACACAACGTGATGGATGTTAACATTGCGAAGTTACTTTGATCGTGGGAGGAGGACATGCCATCACATATATGACATGTGTGTTCAAGTCTGCTTAAGCTTGTTCACTGCGTTTTGAGAAAGCGAACAAAAAAAGTGGCCCATTAGTTCCAAGTTAAGCATATTCATGATGGCACGCATTGCATCCGTAGCCGAACCCGTTTGCGAGGCACCATACGAAGACTGAGGGCCGACGGCTTCGCCTGATGCTGGCTGTTGCCACCATGGGTTCCAGCGCGCGCCGGTGGGCGATTTGCGGGGCTGCGATTGGGCGGTGCGCAGTGGGTTGCGCAGTAGGTTGCGCGGCAAGTTGCGCATTTCACCAGTTACTCTCTTTTCAAAAAAAGAATACACTCAACCGTACTTCCGAGCCCGAACTTGTCCGTGCCCCTGGGATAAGACAAAGTACACATGGTTCTGTGTCATCGCTCACTTTCCATGTGAATTTCCACCATCCCCAACCTCCTCGTCATCCCTGTCGAAGAGTTCCATGAGCACATACTCGCCTACCTCTAAACAACATGTTTCCATAACCCCTTGCAAGAAATACAGCAATATCCATGCGCGCAAATGCCGAACTCATTTCAAATACTTTAGTTCTGCAAACGCTCCGAAATACAAGTCCCACCAGCCCTCTGGGCGTAGGTGGTCTAGGGAGTTTCCTCTTCCAACCCCATTATTCTCCTTCGGGGAGGGGTTTACCCCTCCCCCCTACCCCCTCCCCTGGACCCCGACGGGGCGCCCCGCGAGGTGTCAGAGGGTACTTTATCGCATAAGGTGGCTCCAAGAGGGCCTCAGATAGCCCAAGATGACCTCCAAGATGGCTCAAGGTAGCCCAAGATGCCTCAAGTCGGCTCCCAAAATGCTCTAAGAGGCCCCGAAAACGCTCCAAGACTGCTCCAAGGCGTTTCCGAGACCTCCAAGGAGGCCGGCGGGCCCCCCCAAAGCCAACATTGTTCAAAAACCTACGGCAAATCAATGACGTTTGCATCGTCGCCCGCTCCCTTTCGTTAGCCTTCCGAAGCCTCAACATGGCTCCCAGATGGCCAAAGAGGACCCCAAGAGAGGCCAAGGAGAGCCCGAGCCCAAATGCTATTTTGGGGACTCCCGAGGGGGGGAGCTAATAAAAGCTCCCCTCTTGTCTGATCCAAGTCCTCCAAGATGGCCCCAAGCGCGCCCCTAGAGACCCCAAGAGCGCCCCACGAGGGCCCAAAGCGGCGCCCAGACGGCCCCAATAGGCCCCCAAGAGGCTCCCAAGAGACCCCGCGCGTGGCCTCAAGGGGATCCCCGAATTACCCAACTCACCTTCCTTCTCCTCCTTCTCCTCCTTCTCGTCCTCGCTCTACTCCACCTCCTGTTCCTCCTCCTCCTACGACGACGACGACGACGACGACCATGATTCCTCCTCCATCCTCCCCCCTTTGGGGTATATGACGGCTTCCCCCGCCATTTGTTCTTCTGCATGCTCACCCATTTCCCTGATCACCTCATCTCCCATGGGCGCCGTTTCTGGATGGGCTGGTGGGGGTACTTTTTTGATCGCGAGCGCACCGGAGGACGCCAGGCGCCGTCAAGGTCGAAGCAAGCAAGCTACGAGCTCATTGCGCCAAGGGGAGGAAGGGAGCCGAGGAAGCTGGTGGGGATACTGTTTTGTTCGCAACCGCAAGCGGGCAGCCGCGCGGCGTCAAAGGGTCAAACGCGAGACAGGCCTACGTGCGCGGGGAAATCACACAACAGCGAGCTGGTGGGGATATTTTTTTGGTCGCGGCCGCAGGCGAGAACGCAAGCGGCGAGTCGTAAGTCCCGGGCGCGGGCCTACTAATTGACAACAGGAGCAAACTAGAGCCGCGCACCTAAACTGCCTAAGCTGCCTAAGCGGCGCCTCAAGTGAGCTGCAAGCTGCACTGAGTGCGAATGCCAGGGCCAGGGGCAGAAAGCGCATACACAACGTCCATACAAGGCGGTGGCTGCCAGGATGGCTGCACTGCCAGGGGTGCACGCATGCAACGAGCTGCAGGAGGTGGCGGACTGCCACGGTGGCCGGCGGCCAGGGTCTGCAAGCTGCGAAGTGAATTGAATGCAGGGCCGTAACCGCCCACGGGACTGCAAGAGTACCGGGGAGGCCAGAGCCAGGTGGACCGACCGTCACGAAATGAACTGGATGCGAGTGAATCGGGCAGCAGAAGCTGCGCTGGTGGGAATACGCGAAGCGTCAGCAATTTCAAAACCAATTCGTCCTTCCATAAAAAGTATAACGATGTACCGCCTGCGCGCACATGCTGAAGTCATGAATCCCACCGGATTTTTACAATCGCGCCCAGACCGCGCATTCTAACGTGACCACGCGGTGCGTTCGCTTCGCTCTCGCACGCGCCCAGAGCACAAATCCCGAATAGATGTTACCATGCGAGCCACCTGGGCGCGCCGCCCCCCGCACGCGCGTCGGAATCCTTCCCGAACAAGTGATTCTCGAAGCGCTAAAAGATAAAATTGTTCAAAAACATATGAACATCAAATGCCTCAAAAGAAAGAGAGTACCAGATATATTGAATTTCCGCGCGCGCCCTTCCTCCACATCCTCACCAGCGCCATTGCACCAGCGCCGCCATTGTCGCCATCATCATCATCATCATCATCATCATCATCATCATCATCATCATCATCATCATCATCATCATCATCATCACAATCACCTTCATCACCGACATCTGGATACCATCATGGTCATCGTCGAGACCACCATCGGCGCCGTCATTGGCCTTGCCGTCGTCATCGTCGTCGCCACTATCACCGAGTGATACCATGCCCACCCGAACCCCCGATCCGCGCTAAAGTGTCCGCGCGCCTGCGCGGTTTTTGAGACTCGTTGGGAAGCTCCCATCGGTAACCGCCATCGCGGCCGTATTAGTTGTGCCAAACCAACGGGCCGATCTGCGCGCGAGCGTGCGCGCTCCAGCGCGGCCGTAAACATGCGCGAGCATGGTCCAATCAGTAGCCGCAATGGTGGTCGAATGAATTGTGCGAAACAAGTTGCGGGTGGGAGAGTGGGATGTTTGCGCGAGCAGTGGAGTTGACGACTTCATGCTGTTCTTTCCTGGTTGCGCTCCATATACTCCTTTCCCTAGGAAGAATCACACTCCACCACCACCCCCTGCTCGATCGCAGCTCCTTCCTGCTGCTACGTGCCGCTGTCACACGCCGCCGTCTTCGCCCCCGCCCGCTGCCCCCGTCGTCTGGCCCACGCCGCATGGCCGCCTCGCCGTCTGCGAGGAGCGGCTGTACTGGCGACCTTCGCGCGGGAGGGCGAAGGCGCCGGTCGGTGTCGCAACCCTGGAAGCTTGAGATCGCACACCGAAAAAATGAAACTCAGAAACGCAAGCCCCGACCCTGGGAAGGAAAAGTCCCAGAAATGGAAGCCAAATCCCAACAATGGAAAGCCAAGCACGAACCTCGAAAGCGCCGGAGGCATCAACGACGGCACGGTGGCGGACTTCCTGCTCCTCAACCTCCTCCTCCTGCGCCTCCTGCTCCTCCTCCTCCTCCGAAAACTCTACGAAAGAACCCCTTCCGCCACCTCTCCTCTGGTCCTCCGCCTCCTCCTCCTCCGCTTACTCCTCTTCATCCTCCTCTCCTCCTCCTCGTCGTCGTTGACGTCGTCGTTGTCATCGACGTCGTCGTCTTCGTTGTCGTCGTCGTGGTCGCGGTCATCGTCGTCGCCACCGTCGTCGTCGTCGACGCCCGTGGGCGCGGAAGGACCCGTCTGCCCTAAAATCGAAAACTCCGAGCGGTTCTGGAACCAACGTTAAACGCGAAGGTCTAAGCATTAGAGCGGCCTGCGTCGTCGTTGTCGTCGTTGGTCGTTGGTCGCCCGTCGGTCTCCTCCCACATCCTGTTCATCCCACCACGCCCAAACATAAACGTGCATGTGTATGGATGTAGGTAGGTATGGATGTACGTATGTATGTATGCATGCATGTACGCATGGATGCCTGAGTGCATGGATGGATGGATGGATGCATGTATGTATGTGTGCGTATGTATGTATGCATGCATGCATGTATGCATCTATGTATGTAAATATGTATGTATGTGTGTATGTATGTATGTATGTATGTATGTATGTATGTATGTATGTATGTATGCCTGTCTGTATGTGTGTCCGTGTGTATGTATGTATGTATGTATGTATGTATGTATGTATGTATGTATGTATGTACGTATGTATTTATGTATGTATGTATATGTGTATGTGTATGTGTATGTGTATGTGAATGTGTATGTGTACAGTGTATGTGTATGTGTATGTGTATGTGTATGTGCATGTGTATGTGTATGTGTATGTGTATGTGTATGTGTATGTGTATTTGTATATGTATGTATGTATGTATGTATGTATGTATGTATGCGTGTATGTATGTGCGTGTGCGTGTGTGTATATGTGCGTGTGCGTGTGCGTGTGTGTGTGTGTGTGTGTGCGTGTGTGTGTGTGCATGTGTGTGTATGTGTGCGTGTGCGTGTGTGTGTGCGCGTGTGTGTGTGTGTGTGCATGTGTGTATGCGTGTGTGTGTGTTTGTGTGTGTGGGGGGGGGGGGAGGTGCGTGTGCGTGTGCGTGTGCGCGTGTGCGTGTCCGTGTGCGAGTGCGAATGCGTGTGCGCGTGCGCGCCCGCGCGTGTGTGTGCGTATGTGTGTGTGTGTGCGCGTGTGTGTGTGTGCGAGTGTGCGTGTGTGTGATTGTGAGTGTGTGTGTGTGTGTCACGCGCGCTTGGCCTCAACATCATTCCCACATCAAAGAACGACCGCCCTAGAATGGTGGTTTCAGCCGGTTGTTCGGAAGATACCGAGCAGGCCAACAGTCACCAAATTAGGTCGGACCATCTGTGCACGCCATCTGTTCGCAGACGCTTGCACATCTGCCGCTGGCACTTCTGACCGAAGACCTTGCGGCAATGCAGTGAGGCGGAACAAACAATATTCGATTCTGGTCGCCGCGTGGCAACGCAGGGGGGTACAAACAAATAATACGCCACCCTACTCGTCACGTCGCAACGCAAAGCGGCGGAAACTACCAATCTTATGCTCGACCCGTCACTTGGCAACGCCTGGGGGGCGAAAATGATGGATCGATTTGGCTGCTCTACCCCCTCTTGTGACCACCTCCCATGCTCGCGCAAACATCCCACTCACCCACCTGTAACTTGGTTAGCAACACTCCTGAGGCCGTGCCTGCAATTTCTAACTGGGGCTTCCCAGCGCGTCCAAACGAGTGCACTGGTGCGAGGGCCTTGATCGCGCAAAGAAAAAACAATACTACAGATGACGGTGACGATGTGGACGACGGCGACGGCAACGACGATAACGACGAAGCTGTCGGCGAGAACGGTAACGATGACGACAACCACGGCAATGACGATGACGACGGTGACGAGGATGGTAGTGAATAGGACGTCGCTGGCGGCGATGACGCTGACGGCGACGATGACAATGGCGCAAATGCGAGCGATGCGACTGATGAGGAAGTACGCGCGCAGAAAACCCTGCATATTGTTGATTGAAGACTTGATTGAAGACCATGGGTAATTTTGTGTTCGAAGAGCTCGATGCTCAAATCTTCCGAAAGCCCATAGTTTTAGAAGGGTATCGACATGCCCGCGCGTGGCCCGCGTGGTATTGTTTGACACGGGCTAGGTCTCTCGCAAGTGTGCGAAGGCGTTGGACTAACTTCGACATGAGCGCGCAAGTGGCCCGCGCTGCCTCATTTGACAGACATGTTGAATAACTAGTGGTTGCTCTATGAATCGCCAAATGTGCGCGCGATGAAATGATGAAAAGCTTGTGTTGAAAAACCATTGGGGGTCCTGTAAGTATTTGACTAGGTCGACCTTGAAATCCTTAAGAAGCCAATGGTGCTGGAAAGATTTCGACATGTGCTCGTGGCGGGCGCGCACGTGTCCCACATGTTCTTTGAACGGGACTCGTGCAAACAATGATTCGTAGATTCGCCCGCCCTCCTTGTGGGGCCAGAAAGCGCCGCGGGTTAGGCTTGCCGCTCCTTGCTCCAGATCCGTTTTAAGTTTCCCATCGTATAATCCTGCGTTCTGCTTTTCACCGCGCATTGTTGAAGTCCGCGCGAGGGGGGGGGCCGAAAAGGGCCCTGGTTACCACCACCTAAGAATGTTTCTCCGAATTTCTGTGGGGCCTTTTTTTTTTTTTTTGCTCTTCGACGTTGTCCCGCGCCGAAGGCCGTTCTGGCGAGCGAGCGGAGGGCGCCCGTGGGCAGCAGCCGGCGGCCGAGGCGGGATGGGGTGCGAAGGGCTTAATAAACCGCGGGCGCCTGCGGTCGCGCGGGCGCCCGCGGCGTGTGGCGCGCGTGCGGCGCCTGGCGCGGGACGGCGGGCGAAGGTCTCGAATTGGTGCACACCAGCCGGAGTTGTTCCGAGTACTGGAGCACTGTCGGACCCAGAACTCCAGCGCCTTGAACGATGAGATTCGGACTGAAAATGACGGCCGCGGCGCCCTCTCGAGAGCCGACAACGGACAATCCACTAATCGACGTGCCAGGGTGGGGGTTCTCCAGGAGGGAAACAGCACACAGACAGGAGGAGGAGGAGGAGGAGGAGGAGGAGGAGGAGGAGGAGGAGGAGGAGGAGGGGGGGCACGCAGCGTTCGAGGGGCGCCCCCCCGGCGAAGTGGCGGCGGCAAAGTGCTGCCCGCGGCGGCCCCGCGGGCCGTGCTCGACGGCTCGGCACACCGCGGGCCTCGCCGGCACGGCGGCGGGTGTGCCGCGGGCGCACGGGCACAGCCTCGCCACAGCGCCTTGGCAGCAGGGGCGAGGCCGTCGTCCTCCTCCTCCTCCCCCTCCTCCACCTCCACCTCCGCCCCCACCACCTCCTCCACCACCTCCTCCACCACCCCCCCACCACCACCACCACCTCCCCCACCACCACCTCCCCCCCTCCTCCTCCTCCTCCTCCCCCACCACCTCCACCTCCATCTCCTCCCCCTCCTCCTCCTCCTCCTGAAGGGCACGGCCTCGCCACAGCGCCTTGGCAGCAGGGGCGGGGCCGAACTGCAATCAAATCTACATTGTGAGACCTGCGCATACTGCCGACGGTGTTTGTAAGACTGAATGATGCCGTTTGCGAATGCCTCGTTCAACCTTGGACAGCGTGTGCAATCGGCGACTGCTCCATCCACCGCTTCGGCTTCAGCGCTTCCTTTGACGAATATTGGATCATTTCGGCACTCTCCAGGTCCATGTGCCGGAGCCCCATCGAGTCTCATGCCCCCGACGCATTCAGGCAGATGATCGAGCACTCCATCAGCGCAAACCCCGCAAAGACCCACAGAGACACGAACATGGGTGTCGCTCCTGCAAACGCCTCGGGCAACAACTCCATGATGGACACGCAAACCATCACCCCCGCGGTCGAGGCGTACACAGCACCATACACAAACGGTGGTAGGCCTTCGAGCCTGCAGATAGCGATGAGGAACCAGCCAAAAGCTGCCCCGATGGGCTGCGCGAGGCCGGCCCAGAACGTGTTCTTTACAGCTCCCCAAACTGACCCGCTTGACTGATAGAACGGGACCGCAATGGCCATTCCCTCTGGGATGTTGTGCATTGCGATTGCCACTGGCACTGCGAAAGACCCTGTGCCTCCACCAAAGAAAGTTGCAAGACCCTCGGGGAAGTTGTGTATCGTCAACGCCAAGAACGTCACAAACGAGATCCGCTCAAGAGAGGACACCTTCTGTGAGTCGTGATGATTCAAGGCCTCACTTGAATCAGAGTCTCCCTCCTCCACGTTCTCCTGATTGGAAAACATCGCGTCAACGCACTTGTCGAGCCCAATCGCAGCGAGTACGCCCACGAAGAAGAAGCCAGCAACGCATAGCCTGACGCAGATAGTCTCACCACCCTCCCCACCTTCACCCTCACCCACTCCCGCACTGAGGCGTCTTCCACTGCCGCAGTCTGGAGGATGAAAATGGTGCTCGAAGAACTGGACCGCCTCTGTCCCAAGGATGTCAATGAAGGAGAGAGCGTGATCCACCGCCGCTTTACTGTGGAAAATTGCCAACCTTTTCCTCCGGAACCCGGGGGTCTCCCCCCCCCCCCCTCCGAAATTCCCCCCCCCCCCCCCTGCTGGAACCCCTCCCCCCCCCCCCCCCCCCCCTCCCTCCCGGCAAACCCCCCCCCTCCCCTACCCCCCCCCCCCCCCCCCTCCCCCTCGAAAACCGGGGGGGGTCACTACCCGGTTCGAACCCCTCCCCCCCCCCACCCTCCGGATCCGGAAAACCGGGGGGTCACTACCGGTTCGAACCCCCCCCCCCCCCCCCCCCCCCCCCCCCCCCTACTCACCGCCAGCAAACGACTCCCGGTCCCCACCACCGTCCGCATCACATCCCCCACTGGTGTTCCCAGCACCACTGTCCTCACCACCGCTGTCCCCACTGGTTCCACCACCGCCCCTACTGTCCCCACCAGTGGCCCCACCACTGTCGCACTGTCCCCGCTGTCCCCAGAACTGTTCCCACCACGGTTCCACTCTCCCCACTGTCTCCACGGCCCCAACCACTGCCCGACTATCCCCACTGTCCCCACTGTCCCACTGACTCCTCCGCTGTCCCACTGAGCTGTCCCACTGTTCCCACCACTGTCCCCACTGTCCCCACCACTGTCCCCACTGTACCTCTGTCCCATTGTCCCACCGCCGTCCTCGCCACCGCCTTCACCACTGTCCCCACCACCATTGTACCCTCCACTGTCCCACTGTTTCCACCTCATTCCCATTGTCCCCACACCACTGTCCCCACCACCACCGTCACCACCACTGTCCACTGTCCCCCCCTGTTCCCACCATTGTCCCCACCACTGTCCCCACCACTACCGTCCCCACCACTGTCCCACTGTCCCACTGTCCCCACCATTGTCCCCACCACTGTCCCCACCACTACCCTCCCCACCGTTGTCCCACTGTCCCCCCACTGTCCCCACCACTGCCCCGCTGTCCCCTCACCACTGTCCCCACCAACACCGTCCCCACCACTGTCCGCACCCCCACTCGGTTTTCGAGGGGGGGGGGGGGTTCGAACCGGTAGTGACCCCCCCCGGTTTTCCGGATCCGGAGGGGGGGGAGGGGTTCGAACCGGTAGTGACCCCCCCCCCTTTTCATGATGAGCAGGGGGGGGGGGGGGGGAGGGGTTCGAACCGGGTAGTGACCCCCCCGGTTTTCCGGAGGGGGGGGGGGAGGGGTTCGAACCGGTAGTGACCCCCCCGGTTTTCCGCCAGCAGCGGTAGAACACGCTCTTTCCAATGAAGGAGACCCACATCATCACGCCAGCTGCAAAGCCCATGGCCGCAGAAGTGACTTTCTTGGGGTTGCCACCCATCTTGGCAAAAAGGATGGCCACAGAACCCAGGCAGGTTGCCATCCCTGCAATGATCGTGAGCACAAATCCAAGCAAGTAGTCTGGCTCCTTCTCGCTGCAGTGTGCCAGGCGCCGAGCAACCGAAGGACGCCCCGAAAACATGGCCACGAGGCTCGAACACAGTGTGAGAGGCTTCTGGTGCTCGGGCTATTCGGGGAATGGCTCAGGGCACGGAACAACACATGTGCAGATGAGGCCAACTTTTGCACCAGAGCCACATTGGCTTGAGCCAAAATGGCTACGGACCGAATTTCTGTGGGGCCTTGGGACACGTGCAAACACATAACACTCACACCCCCGAAGCCACAGCCGTTCGTAAATTACGCCATGCTCGCGCCCCCAAGGCTATAACCCCTTGTAAAGTATGCAGTATTCGCGTCCCCGAGACCATAAACCATAGCAACTTACGCTGTGTTCGCGCTCCCGAAACCATCATTCCGTGTTAATTGCGCAATAGTCGCGTCTCAGAGGCAATACTCTCTCGTACAGTACGCAACACTTTCGCCCCCGCAGCCACGATTCCTCGTCAATTACTGGCTCTTCGCGTCCCCGAAATCCTAAACCATCGTAGAGTACGCAATATTCGCGCTTTCGAGGCCACAATCCTTTACGCAAGGCCCCCAAGACGGTACAAGAGGCCTCCGAGACGGCCTAAGAGTGCTCCAAGGCGCCCAAGGTGGCCCCAAGACGGCCCAAGAGGCTCCCAAGAGGCCTCCAAGAGCGCTCCAATAGTACCCCCAAGAGGGGCCCAAGAGGCCAACGTCTACGATGTTCCTTACGTCTTTGTTAGCTTCTGGCACGCTCAAATCTCCAGTGACCCCCGTTGGGAGTTCCGACGCTGCTTCACGACGGCACCCAGGCCTCACAACATAGCCCTTGCATACCCCACTCTCCGAGAGGGGGCCGGCGGCAGGGGGCGAAGCCCTTACGGATAAACGCATGTGCACCGCATGGTATCATTTGATATGGATGACGGAGGGGGTCGGTACCGGCTCGCCTGAAGGCTGGGGCAGAATCATGTGTAAATTGCAATGGCCCAGGGGGGTCGTTAACCACGGCCTCGGGTGAGGGGGCAGAGTCTAATTCCTCCTTTCGAATCGAGAATCTACTCGCCGCGTCACGTCGCAGGGGGCGGAAAAAATCCTGTTGTACTTTACTCGTCACGTGGCAACACAAGGGGGGCGGAAAACCTTGGAATTCTGCTCTACCTTCACATGGCAACGCGAGTGGGAAACAGACAAGGTTCTTCTCTACTCGCCACATGCGATTGAGGGGGGAAGGTTCCCTCCTCTCTCGATCTTTCCTCTTCCTCGGCCCCCGCGACCTTCCCCCCAACTCTCCTCCCTCAACGTCACCCTCCCTACCTCGAGCTCCTCCCCGCCACGTTCTGGAAAATCCGTCTGGCCAGACACTCCAAGAACATGGCGGGGAATCGATGAGCAGCTTCTACCGCCCTCATCCTTCTTCCTTCGGACCTACCCATCCCGAAGCTCAAGCCCCTCCACTCCTCCCTTTCCGCCATTCAACTGTCGGGCGCCACACACGACCAACCTGCAACGGTGATTGTTGTCGGTTGCTCGGGATGCACCCGGGGAAGGCCCGCGCCACATTCCGACACATCGCTCACTACACCGAAGGCCCCAAGAAGCCCGAGAAAACCACGCTCCAGCCGCAGATATTGCATCCACCGCGCTTGCGTTTCCGTAGTCTAAAGTCTGTCTCCAGCGCACGGGCGCCGCCGGCGGTGGCCAGCGGCAGGACGGGGGGGGCGTGAGCGCACGCGCCGCGCAAGCGCGTGAACGTCGTCGTCCGTCGTCGGTCGGTCGTCGTCGCCGTCGGTCGGTCGGTCGTCGTCGTCAGTCGCTCGCGCCGTCTGTCAGCATCCACCGTCGTCTATCGTCATCGTAGCGTGTGGTCGGTGGTCCGTCGTCGTCTGTTGTCGTCGGCCGTCGTCGTCGTCGTCGAGGTCTTCCTTAACGCCGATTGCCGTGCTCGTCGTCCGCCGTCATGTCCTAGGGTGCCGCCGTTGTCGTCGTCGTCCGTCGTCGTCCGTCTTTATCCGTCGTCGTCGTTGCTATCGCTCGTCGTCCGCCGTCGTCCGTCGTCGTCGTCGTCGTCGTCCGTCGCGGTCGTCCGTCGTCGTCGTCGTCGTCGTCGTCGTCGTCGTCGTCGTCGTCGTCGTCGTCGTCGTCGTCGTCCGTTGTCGTCCATCGTCGCCGCCGTCGTCATCGTCGACGTCGTCGCCGAGAAGGGGTAATCGTTGTCGTCGTCACCGTCGTTGTCGCCGCTGCCAGCAGAACCACGTTAACGCTCCGTAAGTTGCTCTGCGCTTTCGACCTCAAGATCTCCAGGGGCCCTGGGCTGGAACGACTCAGCTGGATCATAAATAATAACTCAGCTCCTAGGATGAACAACTGATCCAAGCCCGTTGTTAACGTCGTGCGACGACGTCGAAGTCGACGAACGAGTTTCCTCCTCATCCTCCTCCGCCTCCTCTCCCTCCTGCTCCTGCTCCTTCTACTCCTTCTATTCCTTCTACTCCTTCTACTGCTCCTCCTCGTCCTCCTCCGCCTCCTCCTCCTCCGCCTCGTTCGTTTTCTCTATGCGTCCCCCCAGAACCCTCACGCCATTTCAACATACCGCTCACTCACCGAGCACGGCACCAAATGCCTGAAGAAACCCGAGAAACCGCGTACCGGCCGCACATGCCGCATCCATAAAGCTTACGTTTCCACGAAACATGGCATCGGCTTCCAGCGCAGAGGCCCCAGCAGTTCCAATGCTCGGTCCCCCCGCTCCCAGGGTTGGGAAACCACGTTGCCTATACGTTTCCCGGGTTGCGATTTTAGCCGAGGGCGCCTGCCACTGGGCCTGGGCCATGGGCCCTGGCACGGAGTGCGCGCCCTCCTGGATCGAGGCGCCCGGGGTCTGTGCACCGCCCGAGGGCCCAGGCTGGCCCTGGCCTGGCACGGTGGGGGATGGTGGGCGCCCTCCGCAGACCAGAGAGGACGCCCTCGACCCTCGGGGCGGAGACGTAGGGACGTCTGTGGCCCTCTTTGGGCCTCCAGAGGGCTACCAGGGGCCTCCGGGGTCAGGGTCCGAGGCGGCACTGAAGCTTACTGAGTGCAGCGGATGTGAGCTACTGCTTCTGGGCCCCGATGCCAGCCTCGTTCCTCGATCGATGCACGGGCCCCGTCCCGAACATCTGGCAGAACCCCAAGGTTTCCTTCTGAGCCTGAGAGCCAATTCGGCGTCTGAGCCCGGTCGGCCGCCGAATGAATGTAAATGGACTGGCTCAGTTCTGACAGGGTCGTGGGAACTGAGCCCGCTCGGCAGCCGAATGGACTCGACCCTCAGCCTGCTCGTCGGCCGAGCGGGCTCAGAGTCCGAACCAGCCCTGGCGGGGCCTGGTGATCGCATCTGACGACGACGACGACGACGACGACGACGACGACGACGACGACGACGACGACGACGACCCGGTCGATCCACAGACCTGTGCGGGGACGCGTTCCGACCAGGATTTCGAAGTGGATCCGACCGTGACCGCGAGAGCGCCCTGGGAGGCCCAAACAAGTCAAGAAACAGCTGAACACCTCGACCCTCGATTTTCGACGGACGACGGGGATGAGGGCTGAGCACAGGCAATGCGAGAGAAAACGACGACAACGACCATGTCCACGACGACGACGACAACGGCGACGACGCCCGCGATGGACGACGACGACGACGACGACGACGACGACGACGACGACGACGACGACGACGACGACGAACGACGACGACGACGACGACGACGACGACGACGGATGACCGCGATGGACGACGACATGGCCGCCGCGCGCGCCGCCTCCGAGGACCTCCACGCCCACCGCCTAAGGGGCCGCCGGAGAGGCCGTTCGGCGTCTGAGCCTAATCGGCCGCCGGACTGGCTCAGTTCCGACGGCGCCGCGGGAACCGAGCCCGCTGGGCAGCCGAATGGGCTCGACCTGGGGCCCGCTTGTCGGCCGAGCAGGCTCAGGGGCCCAGCGGGCCCAGAGGCCGCCGACGGGGCCGGCGGCGGGCGGCGAGGGCCGCCGCGCTTGCCGAGGGGACCGCCGCCCTGCGCGGCCCTCGGCGGTCGGAGGGCGGCGCGGCCGCGCGCGCGCGAGTCGGGCCCGCCGCGCGCCGCGCCGCGCCGCCTCAGGCGGCCCGCTCGCCTTCCGGGGGGGGGAGGGCGCGGAACACTTTGTACGTCGCAGCGCGGCAGGGGCAGTCCGCACGCGCTCTCGGGCAAGCGGGGTCACGGCACTGCGAGTTGTCGGGATGCAAGAGTAAAGGACGGAGAAGAGGTGAGCGGCCGCGGGAGGAGGGGGGGGGGGGGAACACTGGGTGGTGGCAATTGGCGCCTTCGGGTATGGGGGTCAGAAATGTGGAGGTACGTTGGCACCCCTCCATGCGGCCGTCTTCGTTGGCCGAGGGACCGTAGGCAGGGCCTCGGCCCCCTCTGGTGCCTGTTGGCAGCATGGTGGATTGGTGTACTGATTGGGGTCGGTCGATGAAGTGAGGGACCGTCTAGATCTCGAGGGTGGGAGGAGGGCGAGGGCGATGGGGTTGGGGGGAGGGAGGAGGGAGGAAGGACAAGGCAGAGGGACACGAACAGCCTGTCCGGCGACGACGGCGAGATGACGACGGGTGCACCATCGCGATCTTCAACGACAAGGATCTAGGCTTCCCAGATGGGGTCCGAGCAGATGGTGTCAGAGGGGCGTGATCTTAGCTGCCCCGCAACACGCAACACGTAGCGTGTTGGCACGGAGCTCAACACGTAGACTGAAAGCGTAGGTCTGGCGCGAAACGTTCGCCAGAACCTGGACCAACACGTGCCGAGCCAACACGCAGCGTAAGAGGGTGACGCATCGCCGATGCATCGCCGACGCGGCTCGACGTGCAGCCCGATCTTCTCCACCCCGATGCCGCCGATGCATCGGCGAGCATTTGAGGGCTCGGGGCGGGGGAGGGCACTTCCAGGGCGACCCCATGGGCGCTCCCAGCGCGCTCCCAGGGCGTTCCCACCTCCTCCTCCTCCTCCTCCTCCTCCTCCTCCTCCTCCGTTTCCTCCTCCTCCGCCTCCTCCTCCTGCGTCTTCTCCTCCTCCTCCTCCTCCTCCTCCTCCTCCTCCTCCTCCACAGAGTACTCCAGGGGTGCTCCCAGCAGGGGGCTCCCGGAGCGTTCCACGGCGGCCCCTGAGCGCTCTCAGCCAGGGCCCTGGATCGCGGGCAGGAGTGTCTGGTTGTGCCTGGGGGAATCTCTCGTCGAACATCTGTTGAAGGGTCT